GCGGAGAGCCATGTCCTCCTCTTTGGAAGTGGCGTAGGGGGAGGCGGAGGCCGGGGGTCGCGCTGCCCCCTCCTCCCGCCGCCCCCTCCTCACTCCTCTCCCCGAAGAGGGCGGCGAGAGCGAGCGGGTCTGGAGAAGGGCTGGGCTTGCCCGCGGGGGCCGCCTGGCCTCGGAGCCCCGGGGTGGGGGTCTCCCCGCGGAGGCCGGCCTGGCCGGGCGTGCGGCTGCGGACCGGGAAGGGTCTGCGGCCGCGGCCCCGCCGGGACTTCGCGCGCGTGGCCGGGCGCAGAGCGGTGGGAGAGCGGGGGGCGCTGAGGGGTGGGTGCTGGGGGAGCGGGTGTGCGGTGCCGGGAGTGCGGCCGGAGTGGCGGTGGCGGCCCTGGCTGCAGCTGCCGCCGCCGCCCTGTTAGTACGGCAGCTTCCTGATCATGTGCAGCCGTCGCAGCGGCCCGGAGCCGGGAGCCCGCGAGCGCCCCAGCCCGGGCCGGCGCCCCCGCCAGCGCCCGCGGCCGGAGCCGGGGAGCCGTGGCAGGCGCTGCCCTGCCTGCGCCGGAGTGAACTGCTGTGCGGCTGCTGGGAGGGTGAATGAAGCCGGGAGGAGGGGAAGGAGGAGGAGGAGGTGGCGGCGGCGGCGGCGGCGCTGCGGGAACTGGGATGCGCCCTGGAGCCCTGCCGCTCGCTCACTCTGGGCCGGGCCGGGCCGAAGGCTCCGCCACTCCTGCGACCGCAGCCGCCACCTCCTACGTGGTTCCAGCGCTGCGCGCAGGCCGGTCCCGCAGGGGGCGGGGCGGGGCAGGGGGCCGGCCGGGCTGAGCAAGAGGTGAGGCGGTGGCGGAGCGCGGCGTGAGTGTGAGTGAGTGAGTGCGTGCGATTGTGAGTGTGTGCGCGCGCGCGTGCGGGGGAGGGGGCGGCTGAGGCCGTCGCGGTGGGGAGAGGGCCCCCTCAGTGGCCACTTGGCTGACTCCGCACCGCCCCGACCCCTTCTCGGCCGCCCGCCCTCAGGCCGCCTTCCTGAACTCCGCGGCTGGTGCTTTCATTTTATTTCAGACCACGTAGGGGGCTGACTGGAAGCGATGAAACAATTCAGGTTTTCGAGGCAGATTGAGCAAGAACCTTAGCGGGGGGTGGAAGTAGGGTGGGGGTGGAGATCCTGCCAGAAAACAAACAAAAAAAAATCAGTTTCCAAGGACTGTGGGGTTTGGTTCAATCCCGTGGCTGCTCTGTTTTGTTTTGCTTTTTTAGTATATAATCCTACAGATAAGAGGGTAATATAAATACTTCGGGAGATTGGGAAATTGCTGAAGAGTAGTAAGGGGGGAAAAAAAAAGCCAGTCGGAAGCTGGTTATATAATGCGCGATGTGGCTAACGAGAACGGCAAGCTATTTTTATTTTGTTTACCGTATGCTGTGCAGTAGGGACTCCTACAAACTGGTTCTGTCCCCGAAGAGATTCTTAGTTTCCCTGTGAGATCCACAGGATACAATCAGCAAAATTAGAAGACCCTATTAAACCCACAGAATAAAAATTAATGGCTTGGAGTGGCATACTCCGTGCACATCCTGGTGCATGCACGGGAATGTGTGTATGCAAGTAAGTTCTTTGCCAATCTTGTAGTCACATCTCATTGACATTTGTGTTTTATAATGCAGGCTGTTCTTAATATTTAAACATAATCGTTACATATCGCTCACAGCAGTGGGTAGTTACTTGAAAGTTATTTTTAGGCACAGCTAGTTACTTTTTCGACAGTGTTAGCTAAGCTATTTCATTTGGGTTTCTGAGGAGCCCTGCAGTTCCTAGAAGCCCCTGTCTTAAGCCCACCGTGTGGTTTATTTGGTGGGTGAAGGTAGTTTGACACTTCAGCCTATTTTGGAATGCAATGTTTGCCTGAAGAAACCACCAGAGAGAAGGATGAGAAAATCCTGCAAATGAACTCTTGGAAAGGGACTGCACCATAACGACTAATGCTTTGGCATTTAATCTCCTCTGATTGCCCTCTGTGCCTGCATCAGTCAATATTTTAGCAGCTCCACAGATAACTGGGCTTGAGTGCCACCTTCTACATAAAGCAGAGGTTGAAGGACTCCCCTGAACCTTCTGCCTGCCTGCCTTTCTCATCTCGTAGATACCTGTCAGCGGGTGTAGGTTTTCGGTGTACTTACTCCAGCTCTGATCACTCATGTAATTAGATCAGGCTGCCATGGCAACAGACAAGTGTTCCTCCGTCCATTCAGGTGGGTTTGTCTTGTGCCTGGACTACTCCCAAGTGTTTCATGCACAGTATTTGTGCTGCCCCAGCCAGATGAGAGACTTTACTATTTCAGCTGCATCTTCTTTCTGTCATCTTTGGACGGGAGACACTGAATGATGCTTCTAGTTACTCAGCTTTTATAAAGGAGACCAACAAGCTGTGCTTACTGGGTGCAGTATGTAAATGTATCTCCCCAGACAGTGAGAGGAGCCCGGCAATCCTGCTGGTGTTTATTGTGAACAGATCAACAAGTATTTGGTACTTGTTAGAAACCTTTCAGAGCTGACTAAAACAGCATTTCTTTTGCAGGCTGTCTGGTGCCTTTGGCCTTGCAGGCACTTAACCCTTTCAAGTGCAGAAGAAGTCAGTCATCCTTTAGAACTCAAGTTGCCAGTAGTCGCGACTGGTTTTCTAACGGATTTATTCAGCGGAAATAATTTATTCCAGAAGGATATCCCCGTTGTCAGATTTGAAAACTGGGTGGCCGTCATAATAGCAAAAAAATGCTACTGATAGTAGGCAGTCATTCTGAATGTATTCATTTTTAACTTGGATTTCTTGGCCATGATCCTTAACCTTTGTGGTAGTAGGTTAAAAGGTTTTTGTCTCAGGTGAGAGAGGATGGAGGCCTATAGCTGGTAGACTGGTAATGTATGGTGCTTTTGCACAATAACTTGTACTCTATTTGGGAATATAATTTCATGGGCATTTAATAATTTAGAAAACAACATTCTGCTCTTTACATTAGGGGACCACCTTATTAAGCCTGCTGAGCAAAGAAAAATAATACTGTTGGAAAAAAAAAAGGAAGGAAAAGTAGCTTTGGTTGCTGAAGCTCTGTGTTGCTCAGGCAAGCCAAATAAGGGAGAGTATTTTAATAACTCTGATACTTGAAAGAAAAAATAATTGAGAATAATAACGTCTTGATGTCATTGTGATCCTGCCAGTCAGTTTACCATTTTACAGCCCCCTAGCTAAATTGGTAAATCCTTTTTTTTCCCTCTGGGGCTAAGATTGTTGAGAGGGCTCCTCAGTGCTCCTCACAGGGTGCTTATGAATTTCTGCCATTTTGTGAGTTTATGCAGTTGGTAACGTGATTGTGACCTGCTCAGATGAAGCGTTGCTGTGTTTAAAACGGGCCATTATTTCTAGGAGGTAAATAGATGGGGGAGGCAAGGATATAAAATAAAGCGCAGAAGTTTAAGTTTTACATAACACCTTGGAGGTCCTGGATTACCTTTTACAATGTACAGAAAATTGCTTTACTTGCAGCCCAACGTGAACATGTATTTTTCAGTGTACAAATAAATCCATCCTAAAATAAGTATGAAAAATGTGCTTGATTGGGAACTGTGAAAGTCAATATTTTCCTTTCTGGATTTCGTTTGAAGAGGGTTTGGTAAACAGAAGTGATACCTCATTAGAAATATTATAACTAGGCTTCCTGGCCTCTGAATTGTCCCGTACTCTTGGAGAAGAATTCAGGGACAACTCTTTAGCCATCAAATTATACATGAAATGTCTGTAACTGGCCTTAGTTTCAACAGGCCTAATTCAGTTGTCTGGGAGTCCCTGGAAAGGCCAGCCTTAAGAGATTATTAAAATATCAATAAGCAAGTTTCTGTGACCCCTGGTTTTGTTGTCATTACAGAGTTTGATTCACATTCCTTTTGTATAAATGTGCCTTTATTTTTTTTCCATTCTGAAATGTCAAGTGGATTTTCTGTTTGCACTTACCTTGAATGATAGTTTTTGATGACTAATGCATGGTTAACACTGGCTCATTTTGTTTCCTATAAGAAGTTCGTCGATAAACATGTTTTTACTAAAAGCCTGAAATTTAGTGAAGGTAGGAGTGAATGTTAGTTCTTTCATTTATAGTTGTCTGCAAGTAACACATAGTTTAGACTATGAAAAGCTTAAATACTTGTGTAAGATGACATCGTACAGCAAGGCAGAATATTATTTTTATAGGGGAGGCAGATGATTTGATTTCCTTTGCTTTATATCTTTTGATATGTGCAGCTTAATTGCTTCAAACAACAGATTTAGTTCTGCTCATACTTCCAAGCTTATCAGAAGCAGGCTCTCCTTATTTTGTGAAAAGGATTGAAAAGAAGAAATCATAGAAATCCCAATAGAGATAATAATTTCTGTTCTAGGGTATTCCACACAGGACTGCCCCTTTTTAAGGAATTTTGTAGTCCTCAATTATGCTGTTCAAATTTTAGTTTCATTCAATTCAGTTTAATAAAATAACGCATTCAGAATTTAAGAGGTGGTATAATAATGAGTATACTCCATGCTAGTGTTGGAGAATATTTTCAGATGTTGGCCGAAAGAGTTGTAATTGGATCAAGGTTTTAAAAATATGTAAATACTTAAAATTACAGAAGTAATAAAAAGGTTTAGGTAACTAATCTTTATTGGTGGAAACAGTTTTCAGAAATCTCTTTCCTGTTTCATAATTTATGTATCTTTGTCTTTATCAGTGTAGTAATATATTTTATAATCCATATAAATTTGAAGTTTTCAGGCCCATGTACTATAAATATGTGTACTACCTATTACCATCTCAGATGTACTAAAACACATTTTAGAACTATTAAAGACAAAGAAGCAACAAACATTATATTCTCTTTGACATATTTGATGTGAGCAGAACTGATTCATTGATTTTTTTATAGCTTTTAATGCATCCCGTTTGTGGAGTAATGAAAATGCAATGGTAATGGCAATAACGTAAGCAAAAATTGTATCCTAAACCTGAAAATTACTTCTCGGAAAATTCATTGTAGTGTAACCACAGTTTGAGGCTTTCTGGGGGCAGAGGTTCCCCTGGTGATGGTGTTTGGATTCAGTCTAAGAAGAACTCCTTTTTTTCTATTTAGGTGCTCTTTAACGGACACGTTTTGAATGAATTATTTAGCAGAAGTTTTTAGTGATCATTGTCATAGCTGCTAACCTGTAAACATTTATGCTTCTAACATTCAAAGAAAATGTATTTTTTCTGTCACCGCGTACGGCAAATTTTCTTTTATTGCACCCTTAGCTTTGGCTTACTCTCCCCGAAGTATTTATATTATATCCTGTATCCACATTATTTATATATTATCACCTCTTTACTGACTGTCATATCAGTATTACTTAGGCCATCTTTCTATCTTCCACTATTAATAGTATTGTGTTACGTTGCCCTGCTGTGCTTTTTAAATATTAAGGGTTCCATTTTTAGCAGATACATAAAACAGTCTATAGGCTCTTTTTTGGTATGTTGTTTGTATGTTTTTGCAATACAGAGTCCACTCTGCCTTGCTTTATCCTTGTGTTTCTTCCCTGCAGTGGAACACAGCAAGTTATGTTAACTCTTTGAGTTAGTCTAACTGGTGTAGCAACACAAATGCTTTTGAAATAAGTAGGCATACCAACGTGAGAGTAAATTAATATTTTACAGCATTTGCATCATGTTTGACTGTTCTCTGCACTTCAGCAGAATAGGAGGAGACTGTAATTTGGACTCTATAAAACCTTATCTGCCAGGTGATCGGTAAATAGGATGGTGTGCACATACATCGATACACAAGGCAACACTCTCAACTGTTAGCTCATAAAGCAAGCACTTTGCAAATCCACGGTACCTGCACCTTGTTTGAAAATGATGATCATGTATTTTGATGCTTCATTTGAGGTGTTACTAGATAAAATCAAGATTACTACCCCCCTCCCGGGCCCTTAAAACAAGTACCGTGTAAGAATAAATAGAATATTATGAGCTTCTATTTAACTTGGCCACTATTTATATTTGTGACTCAACAAGCTTCTTAGCGAAGGACAGTGTCTTCCAAGGACTTCAGAGATGTTATAGCCTCGAACAGCTTCGTTCTTTCTCTGTCTACACTTACTGATTACATGTGGGGAAACCAAGGCCTCGAAAACTTCCTTCTTGTGCATATTAGCCCCAGGCATGCAATAGATGCTTAAATAAATACTTGGTGAATGGATTAGCTAGAAGTAAGAATACTTTGGCTATTATTCATTACTTTGCAAAGTGTTGGAAAGCAATTGAAATTATTTTCCTTTCCAGCTGGGCTGTGCTCTTAAAAATAGTGAGTGTGTATGGATGAAAATAATCATGAGATGTGTTGCCATGTACCCAAGGATAATTGGCTCACTTACCTGTTTACAGATTATTCACACTGGAGATCATATTCATAGCTCCAGAATAGTTTTTTTTCTGACACCCAATATAATCCTGGGCCTTCTCCTTCCTACTGTTATCTGGCGTGGGCTTAGGAAACCCAAACTGAATTTAAAACCAGCCTAAACAAATATGCAGATCAGCTCCCGTAATCAAAGGCTGAAAAAAATCAGTCCAGCAATGACTAGTTTGGGGATTAGTTTATAATAACTGTGCTACTGATTTTATTTAATGTGGACAGTTGGGAACTACCAGTATTTAAAAACATAATTTAAATAGATCGTGCTGGAAACTATGTTAGCAGATCGAGTCCTCAGCTGCTTCCATTTCTATGCATAGGTCTTCACCTCACAAAACCTACTACAAGCACCAAGCTCCCTGATGGAAAGGTATATGGAAGATTCATTCATTCTCTCTTTCATTCATCCATTCACACATTCACTCATTCATAATACAGTGGGTAATTTTTACTTAAACATGCTCAAGATATTGTGGCAGAATGAAAATCAAGTAGACATACATTCAGTAATTAAATCATTTAAAGTTTAGTGGAAAAAAAAGTCTAGTGAGTATATGCATACTTAAAATTTTTTTTTTCTGCATTCTATTCTTCTATCCCATTAGACTGGTATGCTAATAACTGTGCTCTGTTTCATGATTGTGCCTCAAAGTTGCATGTTGATAGTAAGATATGCCTCATGAAAGTTAGACTCTGGCTCAATTACTATTCAGTCCATGCCCATTTTCACCTGATAGTCCTGTGATTACCAGCATGTGTTTCTGAGGAAATTGGCTAGAATCATTAGAGAAAAGAATGACAGTAGCTGTCTCAAATGGGGAGACCAAGCTCTTAATTTGATTGAAGGGTTGACCTTTCTGTGTGTTGGCCTCCCTCTGAGCACTGTCGAAGAAAACCAGACCTGCCTTTTGAGCTGATTGGTAGCTGTGTAATTCTCATAAAACAATGCAAAATTTGATGTTCTTAAAGTTTAGATTTCAGTGCAGGGGCACTTGCAGGTGGAATTATTTTTTAAAGCCATTCGTTCTGTTTCTCATTTTGGATTTCCTCTTCTACACCCCCTGGACCATTGCAGGAGGATCGTGCAGCAAATCACCAGGGTGGTCCATTCAAGCTGCAGATTCGTCTGTCATCTTTGGACAGCAGGCTCGTCCTCCTCAGCCACTGCAGGAAAGTGTGTCACCCATCAGGTGAGGGTTTTGCAATGCTCTCTAGTTTCCACCTGAGGATAAAGTCTGACCTGGGAAAGTCGCCTACTAGCCGTACTTTAGCACTTTGTAGACTGTTTAAGATAATTGTCTTTGCAAACTGTATTGTGTGGGAAATTGAGAAATCGCCGAGAGGTTTTTTTTAAAGCTTGGATTAAAGTATTTCTCTTTTTGATTTATTTGGTTTATGAATTAGCCTACCTCTGACTTTGTGGATGGTCAATTATTGCGTGTGTTGGGCTTGGGCCTGATCATTTTAATTGTCACCTGTACTTCAAGCTGGTGAGAAAGTTTTGCTACCAGATGGTTATCTTAAGTCATGTTTTAGGTTATTGTTGTAGTATGACCCTCGTGT